GAGGGCGGCCGCTCTCGGGCCATCTCCCGGGGTGACGGGCACCGCTCCCGGCTGAGGGCGGCCGCTCTCGGGGCATCTCCCGGGGTGACGGGCACCGCTCCCGGCTGAGGGCGGCCGCGCTCGGGGCATCTCCCGGGGTGATGGGCAGCGCTTCCCGGTCACGGATCGCTCGGCGGGTGATGGTGGCTGTGCTCGGGGCATCCTTCCCCGGTGGCGGCGGGTCACGCTTTAGGGTGTCCCCCTCCGGGGGCTGGTGGCCGCGTTCGGGGCATCTCCCGCCGGGGATTGAGGACTGCGCTCCGGCCATCATCATCCCCCAGGGCTCCAGGGGTCCTGCCCGGGCACTCCTGGTGCAGCCTGCCGGGGCTTTGCGGTGCCGGAGGCTGGGCTCGGCGTTCGTGCTTGGTGCATCGTCCCAGAGTGCTGGGGGACTTGTTCCCTCCCTGCACACCCACCCGTGTGATTCCCGCACCGGGGAGCAGCATCAACAGCCCCTTTCCCACATCAGCGGTGCCGGGGGGTGTTCAGGTGTCCCAGGAGCAGCGCCTGCTTCTGCAGCCCTTCCAGAACGTGCCTCGTACGCAGCAGAGCCTCCGGCTGCTGCTCAGGGTACAGCCGGCCCTAGGGAACCGTGGGGCTCTGGCGTTGTCCCCCCAGACACGCTGGCTGTAGTGATACCTTGCAGCCCCCTCCTTCTCCTCGGCTGTGAAATGCCCGCAAACGTGCCCGGCCAGGCGGCAGCACTTCAGGAGCACTTGGTGTGCTGGGAGGAGGAGGAGGAGGCACCGCGTTCCCTTTTTCCCGCGGGATGAGGCACTTTGATACCCGTGCTCCAGGAACAGCCACCCTTAGCCCTACCTGTCTGGGAGCTCATCCGGATGGAAAGCGCAGCCGCTTCCCTGGCTAACACCGGGGTTGTCTCGCAGAGACCATTTAGCCTGTCTAGACAAGTATGATGAAGAGCGAAGTGCCTGGAGCTCTGAGTGATTAGAGCTCGGCTATCTCTGCAGTGCTACGTTTGTTGTGCAGCTCTGATAGATGCTGCTCCGTGCTTTTGGATCTCTGGTTAGCAAGTGCACAGCACGCAGACATGGATTGTGGAGGATTATTTCATGTCAGAGCCAGGGAAGGAGAACACAGCCAGCCCTTCATCACATGTGTGCATGGGAGAAGCATCACAGGCAGTTGAACCAGACTAAAATGAACAGAAAACTCTGAAAATGGTGAATAGATGGGTGATGAGGGGGAGGAAGGGAAAGGCACAAACTGCCAGCTCACTTTCTGGAGGGTAGCACAGAGAAGTTCATGAATGTTTGTGTGACACTTAGAGAGCCTCAAATAGCAGGCACTGAAAAATTGGGTAGTGCTTTGTACAAGCACAGAATAAATAAAATCTGCAGAAGAGAAGGCTGAAATGAGGGATAATGTATGTCCTCAGTACGTATTAAAATGAGCAGAGCATTTTGAGACAGCAGCTTTAACATAAAACAAAATCAAGGGCAAAGTGGATGTGTATGTGTTCTTAAATACTTAAGAACACTTAAATAAGAATATTTAAATAAGGAAATGGATGCATCTGTCTCCATCTTAGGTTTTTAATGACCTTTACAAATCTTGTCTTTCACCTTGCAAACCTTTTTTGCATATTGTTGAGCTGTCCATCTAACTTGCCCAGCAGTCCAAGTTAATTAATGAGGCAGATTCCTGGGAGGCCAAACTTCCAGGACTGAATCTTGCAGCAGTAACACATCAATCACAGTTCCAATAGGACAGGCAGATTCTTCTCCTCCTGGTAAATGCACGTGTGAATCCCTGAAGGTTTCCACAGCACCAGGAATGACTCTTCTCGAGACCATCTGTTTCTGAGCCACAGACATATTCTAGAGGCATTACACACAAATATTATTGGGGTCTGGCACTGTGTGAGGCCAGAAGGCTTTATGTGAGTTTATGGGCTGGAACACACAGATCTAACTCACTGCTCTGTGGCCACTTAATGCCAAGCAGACAGAGGATGCCAGAGCTCCATGGGGGTGCAAGTGCAGGGCTGAGAAGGTCCAGAATGGATTTTCTCTGTGAGCAGAGGGGATTGATTCTGAAAACTGCTGAGTATCTCAAAACCAGGTCAGAACCTGGCCAAACAGATTTGGTGTGACCCCAGGAGCTGACCCTACCCAGCAGCAAAGCCTGGCTCTGTGTGAGAGGCTGTGTTGAGCTCCTCGAGGAAGGAGCCGGACCAGTGAGAATTTTATTTGGAGAAGAGCTTCTCAGTCAAGGAAAATCTCTTTCTACACATGTCAACAAATAAATTGAGAAAATTGCTTTCAGGCTGACATCGGTGCAATACTGGGAAGTGCAGGGAAGGAGAGGCTGATCCTGGAGCAGCAGGAGCAGACACCAAGTGCAAATCTCAGGGAAAGAGCTATTAAGCAACTGGAGCATGTGCTGATAATTAGTTATCGCTCGTTATGTTTGCTCTGGGCTTTTCATTTCTGTCGACTGGCAATGAATTTCCTCCACTATCACCACTTGTTTACATTACAGCACCTAACAAAGGTAATTAATCAGTGCTAAGAGACCCTGCTAATGTCCCTCTGACATCCAAAGAGCCGGGTTAAGTCAGTTTGCCTCCAAATACTTCACAAGAGCTGAGAGGGGAATGGAACAGAGGGAATCTCCTGTGCATCTGCAGTGCCTGTGGGAGTCAGAGCTAGAAATTGTTTAAAACTTGGTTAATAAAATAAATAACTTTAGAACGACCAACTTAAAAAAAAAATACAATCTCTGCAATGTTAGGGTCAAATTTAGTACAATACCAAATAAATCCATAATGCACTGAGTGCCCTTTCTGGACCTGTACATGGAATTTCTGCACACAAGACCGTCCCTGTCTTGTCAGAATATCCCAAATGAACTCACACTGTATGATATTGCCTAGGCCTTTGAGAATCAGGCTGTTACTGTCAGCCCCAGGCATTTCTATCCAAGAAAGCAATGTCAATATATTAGAGAATAAATGACATATCTATGAATTACAAACAGAATAATTCATAGGTAATTTTCAATTACAGAGAATAATTTATATGTGTCTGATTTGCAAAGAGAATTATTTATGAGTAACCTGAATTGGCCATGAAGAACATTAACAGGTTATTGTGGGAAAGGGAGTCTACAGACTGCTCATGTGTCACGTGCTGAGCCTGGATTTTGGGGCGTTTCCTGCGCAAACACACATCACAAAAATAAAATCTGTCAGATTCCATAATAAGCAGATTTGTGTAGTGTGCCCAATCTGATCTGAAACCTCCGAGTGGTGCTGAAAGCCAGACTCAGGGAGCATGTTGGAGCTCCTGCCTTGAGGAGCACCACAAGCAGAAAGGCCACAGCTGGGGTCCTGTAACATAATCCTTGGAAAAGGCTGTTTTTCCAGGAGCAAGGAGCCAAGTGCCAAAATCATTGGGTTGTTTGTGTCTCCTCTGCCCTGTGTGGAGGTGATGATGGATGACATGAAATATGCAAATAACAGAGAAAAAGAGGAGGATCTCCATGGACTGGGTGAGATTCCCAGCACAGGCTCCTTCCCTGCCCCTGGATGCTGCAGGTGCCAGAGCACAGGCACGTCTTCCATCCTGCACACAGGGATGCTGCCCTTTGTATCATGGAATCTCTGAGGTTGGAAAAGACCTCCAAGACCATCCAACCTCCATGGACTTATGGTCCAACACAGGTGCTCCTGGTTTAGGAAAAATTACAATGTTAGCAAATGGCTGTGAGATAGAACTACAAAATATGTGTTAGAAACAGGACGTTTTCTTAATCATAAAGTAAGAAATGGCACAGGAGTGGATGTGGACAGTGTCTCCACTTGCAGCAGATCTCTATTATTTTGCTTAAAGCATTTTCTCAACCACAAATTACTAGCCTCTTAAACAAAAGGAGTTATTTTCACCTCCACAGGACTTGCTGGCCAGGTCCTACAGCTTGTCATTGAACAAGGGGCCAAATCAGCTTTCTTTAAGGCAAGACATCTTCCAAAATACCTGAAGGGCAGAAGGATGCATTGGGGCTTCCAATTCTTCATCCCCACCTTGGCATCTTAAAACCTGAGTTGGGAAAGAAACTATGCAAGCCAAAGTGCCATTCCCTCCTGAGGAACTGCCTCAGGGAGTTACACCAGGCACCCTCAGCACAAGAGCTAAAAATTACAAAGCCCTGTTGCTCTGCTCCACTTAATGAAACACCATATCCATATATCAGACCAAGACAAACAGCATCTGCTATGGCTAATGTGGTAAAAGAGCTTCTTTTTTCAACCATTAAAGTTGGTCCATAATATTTTCTGAAACACTGATTTTCTCTGATGAAGAAATTTAGAAAAGTTTACTAAAGAGAAGTAATTGTCTTGGATTTGGAGAGTGTAATGGGTTGCTGCTGTTGTGTTGGAAGCAAAGCCAGACCCTCCAGGAGAAGGAGGCACATGTCATTCCAGACTGAATTCCTGCAAATGCATTCCTGTGCCTGAGCTTTTAAAGCGTCGTCATGGGCACCCCTGGGCATGGGGAGCACCACAAAACACCCATGGTCACAGCTGGGAATGTCTGGAGCTGGGTGAATGTCCCCTTTTAGGAAGTCTAGGGAAACAATGTATATCCCATAGCTTTGGGCTCCCACTGTATTCCACGAGGGAGCCTGGGGGGAACACTTACTACAAGACTGTGCACTCATTGTGTCTATAGTCACATACATCCACTCTTTGCTGCTTCCCATTTAGCAGAGAAAAATCCATTCATTTTCTAACCAGCTCCTCCTCCCCAGACCAACGCTGCAGTCATTGCCTGAAACGTTTATGAAGGCAGCTCATGCTTCCAGAAATTTTTAAACTCAGCTCCTTTAACATGACCTGGACCAAGTGCAAAGTCTCTTTCTTGACTTGCACTAGGCAGGCAGCAGCTCACAGCATCCCATCCTCAGGGAGTTGAATATTGCTAACAGTTCCCCAGTGAAAGCTCTGCAATCACCAGGAGAAAGATGTTTGTATTTAAAGGTTGTGCAGAACAAGTGAAATCTTGTCCATTAGGAAAATGCCAATCTTCACCCTAATCCAAGGCAAAACTCCTGATGACCTGCTGGGGTCAGACTCTCACTTTGTCCTCCCAAATCTGGAAGCAAGTCAGAAATGTAGAGATTTGGGTCACCAAGGGCAGAGCAACCTCACACAACCTTGCTGCTCCTTGTAAAAACCAGGTGGAGCAATTTGGACAATTTTGGGTAGCAAGAAGAGCTGAGAAAGTATCAGAGATTTTTTTCTTAACTTTCACTGGATTAGGCCCCTTGTACCACTTCAGATCCCCCCATGCCACCTGCTGTCAGCCTTTAATGAGAGTGAAATACAAAAGCTTGCAAAAATGAAAGAAAACTGCTTATCCACTCCCTCTCCAAGCTACACACACTTAGAGACAAAAAAAGATCACACTAAATGAGCCCTTGTAAGGACTACCAATACATACATAGCTCTTCCCAAGGGTTAGATGAGAAAGAATTCAGTGTTAATTTTAATGGGCTGCCACTTTCCTCTTACTGTGCAAACCACCTCTGCATAACTGAGGAGAGGCTTTGGCTCATTTTGGTACTACTTTTTTTAAATATTGAATTTTCTTAATTGTATTGCTGTCCTCAGGGGCCACTGCATGCCACTTACCTGGCAGAACTAGGCTGCAGACCTACTTAAATTGTAGGCTTAATCAGTTCCTCCTTAAAATATTTAATTTTTTTTTTTTCTGTGATTGAATGCTGCTGCTAGAGCAGTGATGGTCAGCAGCTGATGCATTTGGTGTCCACCCAGAAAGTTTTTCTGGCTCCTTTTAAGTTACTATGAACTTGCCTAGAAGAAGGTAACACTTATTCCTAGAAACCCTGGGCTTTTGTGCATATATCCCCTGAATTTCTCATTCTGCTGTGAACAGGTGGAGCACTTACCTGTGGCAGGCAAAAAGCCCAAAGCACTGCTCCAAAATGCTCCAGTCCTGCTTGGTGTGATCCCCTTACAAAAAGGAAAAATCCAGACATAGACCAGTCACGGGGGCTGTGCTTTGTTTCCTCTTTCTCTTCCCTCCCCCCAGGGTGTTCACTGGCACCTCCCCAAGTGCATAAACTGCAGTGGGAAATAGGTGCTTGACTTCTGCAGCTTTGGGGAATGCCAGACATAGAAAGGACCATGGAGAGGATATTTCCAGGATGCTCCAAATTAGTTTCTTTGTGCTGCAGGCTTTCATTTCCTTTTTATTTACCACTTGACATCATCCCCAGCGTTGTTGATGCTAACACAGTGTGACATGAAGCTGCTCACAAAGGGACATGATGGCAATGGGCCCGAGCGTGTCCTGCTAGAGAGGCACCACCAGCACACGCGAGCCTCGCACGGCAAGCCCCACCTTGGCTGGGCAAACCCCCCCAAATCCTGCAGCCTGACAACAGCACTGGGAGCCAGCAGACACCCTGGGATAGTACCTAGGATTAAAAGGTGTTAGAGGAAATTGTCACCAGAGAACAGCTGCTTTCACTGGTGTCAGGTAAGTCAGAAGCTTAGGCTTCTGATGGACAGATAAAGACCAATACCAACCTCTTTGTTCCTGACATGGGCCTATTCCAAGGAGTGTGGTTTATCCCAAGAAAATAGGAGCACCACTTTTCCACATCCTACAAGGTCCAGTGCAACCAGCTACACAACATCCAGAGATGTTTCCCATCTGGTTGGGGCTTCAGGATAGAGCACCAAAAAACCCCCAAACCAGTCAAGCCATCTGGTTTTCTCCAGATGCCCGGCAGCATTTGTGCGTTCTTTGAGCACCATCTCCTGGCACAGGGTCTCTGAGCCAGTGACACTCCTGGGGACGTGAAGAACCCCAGAACAGCCGCTCTCACACGAAGCGTAGGGCTCCAGGCCAGCGCAGTGCGCAGCGCTCACAGCCTCCCACCAAACCCCACCGCAGGGATATCAGCGCACGCTGCTGTGAGAGCCGAGCTGAGGAGGTTTCCCGTCCCTGGTGAGGCTGAGCTGAGGAGGTTTCCCATCCCTGGTGTGGCTGAGCTGAGGAGGTTTCCTGTCCCCGGCGAGGCCGAGCTGAGGTTTCCCGTCCCTGGTGAAGCTGAGCTGAGATTTCCCATCCCCGGTGAAGCTGAGCTGAGATTTCCCATCCCTGGTGTGGCTGAGCTGAGGAGGTTTCCCATCCCTGGTGAAGCTGAGCTGAGATTTCCCATCCCTGGTGTGGCTGAGCTGAGGAGGTTTCCCGTCCCCGGCGAGGCCGAGCTGAGGTTTCCCGTCCCTGGTGAGGCCGAGCTGAGGAGGTTTCCCGTCCCTGGTGAGGCTGAGCTGAGGTTTCCCGTCCCTGGCGAGGCCGAGCTGAGGAGGTTTCCCGTCCCTGGCAAGGCCGAGCTGAGGAGGTTTCCCGTCCCTGGCGAGGCCTGGCGCTGATGGCTGTCCCCTCCCGCAGGCAGCGGTGCCCCGCGATGCTGCAGTGCAAACACGCGCAGGAGTTCAGCTTCGGGCCCCGCGCTCTGAAGGACGCGCTCATCTCCACCGACCCCGCGCTGCAGGAGCTCTACGCCAAGGCCTTCTCCAGGGCGGAAAAGCTGTTCCTGTCCGAGGCCTACAACCCCCAGCGCACGCTGTTCTGCACGCTGCTCATCCGCACGGCCTTCGACTGGCTGCTCAGCCACCCCGATGCCCCCGAGGACTTTGAGACCTTCTACCACGCCATGCTGAGGAGGAAGCAGAACTTCTGTCGAAAGCACATTTACCTGCAGCCCATAGGTAATGGGGGGATCTTCACTGGGCTGTCTGGGGAGAGACAGGAGGGCGGTGGGTGTTGTGGAGCGCTGCTGACGCCCTCCTCTAAGGACTCAGCTGCAAATGCGATGGCCACAGCAAAGACAAGTGTAACAGGCAAGGCTCTGACATGCCCCCAGCCCAGAGTCACAAGCCATGCTGGTAGGCCTGCCATACAAATGGTATATGTGCCCCTGGGTGAGGCTTGCCGTGAATTTATGAATATATGTATATCAAAGTATGAAACAATGCTGGAAAAACCAGCATTTCTGGAGGTCTGTCTCTGATGGTTCATTAAACACAGCCACCCATTCCCACGTTAATCATTCTGCGCAACTTAAACAGGAGACAACCTTCCAGCACATCTGCTCTGCTAATGAGAGCATACTAATGCCTTGAGCAACTTCTCAGAAAGAGCTCCCTCTTCTTCTCTATATCCAAAACCATCCAGAGGTGTCCACCACACCCCAAAGTAAGCAATGAACTCAGAATGAACCAGCCTGCCCCCGCCCCAGCTGCTGTGGCCAGTGCCATGAAACCCCTTCAGACCTAATGTTCACCCTGGCTTTTAGGGGCTGGTAACAGAGTTTCTCTCCTCAGATTTAATTGAAGGGCCTGCTGGGCTCTCCCTGCTGGATTCCCTCCAGAGCTGTGTGGAGTCTTTTTTCCTGGGTCTGCGTGTGAAGTGCCTTCCCTCCATCCCAGTCTCTTCCATCCACTGCTGCTTCCGCCACAGCCGGGACTCGGACAGGGTGCAGCTCCACGCAGGTGAGGAAGGAGCTGGCAGTGGGGAGCCCACAGACGCCAGCCTGGCACACGGGCACGAGTTCTCTCTTAGGAAATGCCTGACACAGCCCTTCATTGCCTGAGGTGGGAGGGGATGAGGAAGGGAGTGAAAAGGGAGAAATCCTGTTCCCATGGAAAGCCCAGAGCTTTGAGGCTGGAAACAGGAATAAAAAACAAAGTGACTTTCATCATATTTTCCTCTGCTGTTTGTATTTTTCAGTGCTATTATTTTAGGTCCAGCTCTGCAAAGCGATCGGATCAGCTCTGCGGGAAGGCTCTGTTGATTTGGTGCAATCATGGTCTCCCATCCCCTCTCCAGAGCCAAAGTAAATTATTGGCCTGGGTGGTGTAGGAGGGGAACTCACAGGCCCTTCATGATAGGAAATTTGGGTTCAAGTGTCAGTTCCCCAGGGGACAGGGCTTGCAGGCTGCCAAGCTTACACTGCACAAACATCCACCTGGAATGAGATGTTTGCAGGTTCCATGGGCAGCACATGCTCAGCACAGACCCAGCACTGCAGCCCTGGGGCTATTCCAGGTCAGTTCTGAAATGCCTGTAGGGATATTCTGCTCCCAGGTGCTCATTTCATGGGTTAGTACTGAATTCACCAGCATCTCTGCTTGGGTTTAACTCTGTGCTCAGCACCACTTCTGAAATCAAGTCTCTGATGTGAGGGGTGGCCTACACAGCCATGGTTCTCCACCTGAGATGATGAATCCAGCAGCTTTGCCTGCCTGTGGGCTTGGATTACATCCTCCTCCCCATCAGCAGCAGAAATTCTGGCTCCTATGCCCTCCAGGGTTTCTTCATTTAAATGAACATCTCTCTTGTATTTGTCCAGATGGGATCCTGAATTTCCTGAAGAACAACAAGCCCATGGATGCACTGTGTGTCCTTGGACTTACCCTGCTGGACCTTTACCCATGTGAGACCTGGAGCTTCACATTCAGCAAATTCCTGCCAGGACAAGGTGGGATTGGAGTCCCATGGTGATCTAGCACAGTGTGTGAATGAGGAACTCCTGTACCAAAAAGCCCTTCCCTGTGAGACTGGAATAGGCAAATCTTACCCTTAACACATTATTCCCTGATAAAAGGAACTAGATTTTCCCAGTGTGAAATCAGGGGGATCAGGGCTCCTGATCCAGACAGAGGTAACCGAGGTGATACAAACCTTTTGGGGAGTGGGTCTCATCACAGCCTGTGTGCTCAGCTGGACTGTGCTCCCACAGCTGTGTTTTCATGCTGCCTAAGGTGAGAGACACTTGTCAAAGAGCAGATGCCTGACTTGTACTCCTCTCTCTTCACAGAAGTGGGAGTCTGCAGCTTTGCCAGGTTTTCTGGGGATTTCCCCCAGGCTGGTTGTAGCAGTTTGAACCCACCCACGCAGAAGGAAGAGCTGTGTGAAGTCAGCAAGGAGGGCAGAGACCGGACCTTGCAGTTCAGCGCCCAGGAGATGGTCGAGTGCTGTAAGGTAGGACCAGCAACCTCCTGCACCCTGTGCTTCTTCCTGTGTAGGGCTAAATGTTTCAGGCCAGGGCATAATCCATAATGCCTCAGCCCAGTGAAGCAGCCATGGGACTGCTCCCAGAAGCACAGGCAATCACAGCCACATCCACACTGAATTCAGATATAAAGAGCTTGCATTTTACTGCACTGCATGGACAACTCCTAGTCCCTTCACCATGCAAGCAAATGACATCAGTTATGGGGAGGCTACAGGACTTGCCTCAGAATCACAGAATGGTTTGGGTTGGAAGGGACTTTAAGGGCCATCTTGTCCAAGACCCCTTGCACTAAAGCAGGTGATGTCATAGAGCGGCACTGAAACAACCCCTCCCAGGCTCGTGCTTGGGTAATGCTGAGCATTTTTCTTGTCAGGTACAGCAGGGCTGATACAGTATTTGGAGGTTAATCAGAATATCTGCTGGAGCTGTGTGTAACTAATGGATGGCTGTGAAGGGTGAGAGTCCTCCTCAGACACTGGTATCTGTAAAGGGGAGGGCTCCCTGTGCCAGACCTGTTATGTGGATGGATGAGAACAATACCTCAGCCAAGTTTGCACATCTATTGATATGCAGATGCCCTTAAACCTCACCTCCAACACATGCTCTTCAGGAGTGCTGTCCTCCCTCATCCCAACATTTGCCATACTCCAGCTGTGCTTCCAGTGCTCCTCCCAAAGCTGGCCCACACAGAGCAGTCACACCAACACCTTCAAAGCCATTTCCCTTTGCTCCCCTGGAATTTGCTCAGGATTTTCTAGTTTGAGGTCTCTTCCAGTAATAATTTCAAATGATATTAAGTGTCAATGGGAGGAGGAGAGGAATCCTCCATCCTCAGCCTTTCCACAGTTGCCAATTCCCAAGGCAGTCATGCTTGGCCAGCTGACTCCAGCTCAGTTTTTTGCTTTGGCACAAATACTAATGGAGTCTGTTCTGGAAAGATCCATATCTGTTATTGCCAACAGCTTCTTGCACATTTCTCACACAGGCTGCGATGCTCTTTTCAGGCCCCAGTGGGACTGCTTTTCCTCCTTAAAAAAACCCCTAAAACAACAAAAAAACCTCCAAACACCACATTGTCCTTGGGGAAGAGCAGCAGCAGCACTGTCCCACAGTTCTAAACAAGCTGCCTACAGGGCTTCCCACATCTGCCTCACCCACACCCACCCCTCCTTCTCCACAACACAAACACGGAGCTGGGAAGGGGCAGGTTCTCTGATCACCATGGAAAAGCCTAGGCTGGAGGAGTGCCATTGCTGAGCAAGAGGTTGGTCAGACTACCAGGGAGCAGGGAAGGTGGAACAGCAGAGGAGGAAGAGGAGGCAGCAGAAACAGGAATGACCACACAGTGCTGTGATCTTTGCTTCCCTAAAGGTGACCTGTCACGAGATCTGCCACCTGATGGGGCTGGGGACGTGCCGCTGGCTGCAGTGCATCATGCAGGGCGCCCTGAGCCTGGACGAGGCCCTGCTGCGGCCCCTGGAGCCCTGCCCCATCTGCCTGAGGAAGCTGCAGCACGTCGTGGGCTTCAAACTCATCGAGCGCTACAGGGTGAGCCCCAAGCCCCCCGTCCCTCCTGGAGCAGGGGCAGGGCAGGGACAGGGTGGCCCAGCCCAAAGCCCAGCACTGAAGGTGCTGCAGCAGCGTGGTGAAGGCAGGAGATCTCAGGAGATCAGTGCCAGGTGCTGAGGCAGCAGCTCACACCCCGACACAGGGGTGTTCTACACAGGCTCTGACCAGCAAAGTGCTTGGCACAAGCTCCAGGGATTTGGCTCTTCCCAGGGGACACTGCCACAGCCCAACCACACATTTCTAATCTCAAAAACAAGGTGGGGAGGGCAGGCAGATAGCAAGCAGGAACAGCAGGGAGTGCAGGGATTCCCACAGCTACGCCCTTTCCTGTGCCACCCTTGAGTTTTGCATCTCTGGGGCTGCTGGAAACAGGGAGGAAATATTATGTGTGTACTTTGCTGGAGCTCCTCTGTTTAAATTTATGAGAAAGGAGCCAAAATTATTACCCCAAATACATGGAGGGTCCCAGATGAGGTCCCCGCATCTTTTGTCTCTTCTCTCCCATCCATACCACTGCTAACACCACATTTAGACAGATCAGCAACAGTGCAAGAGCACCCTTAGCTCTTGAAGGGGTTTTCTACCTCTGCTGTCTAAAAAGCAGGATTCAGTAGCCAAATGTTTGGTGCAACAGTGTCCCTGTTCTCACCCAGCACCCATCTTCTCCCTGGTTGTAATTCCTGTCTGACACACATCATGTTCAGAGGCAGGATTTTCCATGGCTGCCTATTTTAAAGTGTGTGGGTTGTATTTGTAACAAGATACGAGCAGAATGAGAAAGGAGATGCCTCTAGTTTCCTTCAGCGTGGAATCAGATGCACAGAAGCATGGCAAAGAGTGTGGGGAAACACATTTTTTGTGGTTTTCTTACCTGTGGTGCTGCCAGACCCTTCTCTGGCTCTGTGGCTGTTTGGTCCCTAGTTCTGTCTGAGAGGTGCCTAAATTGCTCAGACCACCAGAAGAATAAATTCTGCTATATTTAAACACCCATGCTGTCAGCATCCAGCCAATGCTTTCTGGAAGAGAACTGCCACCTGCATTAATCTTTTCTAGAAATATTTTTGCCTTTACACCTGCAATAAATACTGTAATTGGCTCAGCATCCTCTGGTGACAGAGAATACAAACCTGAAGGGATGATGCACTTGCCAAATGTCACATCTGCTTCCTCAAGAAGGCAAAGCTCAACTAGATACAGTACAAGCTGCTGTAAGAGAGCTGTGATAATCTCTGTTAAGAGGCTTTGCCATACTGTTGAGAGGAGACATAAATGCCAGAGATGAATTAAATAGTTAAGGAACCTGACAGAAGAGAGCAGAAAACATTTCAAGACAATAACAGAGAGCAAAGTTAACTTGCCAAGCACGTTAAGTGTAAGTCTGAAGGCACATTTCCTCTTGGAAAACTATCACATATCCCCACCTGCCACAAAACAGCTTCAGACACTCATAATAACCACAGGAAATGCCAGAAGCAAGCTGTGCCTCAGCAGCAGCAGGTAACACTGCTCAGATCTGCAACTGAGACATGGTTTGGAGCAGAGGAGCACGTGGGGCAGGAAACCAGTCCTTATGCAGCAGAAAGAGCTCCTCAACTTATTTATCTGAGTTGCACTCAGAACCACACTCCATTTTTCATTCCAGCTGCTTATTCCAGCATGACTCATTTTGAAAACTGAAAGCAAGTTAATTGTCCTGGTGTTTCCCCACCACAATCAACATTTCCACATTTCCACCTGCTGCTTGTGCGGCATCCCAGGCTGTCCTCATGCGGCTGGATGAGTTTGCTGTGGCCACACACACAGACAGCAGGTCTTAGTGACATCATTGGGGTGGACATCCACTTCAGCTGCTCTTGCCTGCAGGTAAACAAAACCCACACAGAGCTCATCCCTTCCTGGTTAAACAGGAGAACTTCAGAGGCTGCAGCCCTCCAAACCCACCCAAAGTTCAAATGAATAAGCCACCCAAAGGATGAGAGAGACTGAAGGGATTCTGGGAATTCAGGTAGCGATCCTGAGTCAATCATTCCTTTTTTTGGCCTTGAATAGCCCAAATGTACTGTTGGAAAATCCACATCTCCACAGCCTTTTTTCTTCTTGGGAATTGGGCTATTGTAATTGGGATTCCTTTCTAGATTCACTATTCTTGGGAATTTAGAGCCATTACAAAATCATGGGCTGCTTGCAGCTTTCCAGTAGCTTTGCTGTCCCCTTCACTAGCCCAGCTCCCACTGCAGCTTCTGGCACTGCCTTTGTTGGATAAAGCCAGAGGGAGGGAAGGGCTGCTGGAGCTGGGAGGAGGCAGGAGAAAAGTTGTCCCTTTACAATTTTTCTTGCCCCAGAGAGAGGGGGCAGGGTGGATAAGCTAAGCTGAAAGAGTCCATTTTATTCCTGTACAAAATTCTTCCCCGAGGCTCCATGCTCAGACTGAAATGAGAAGCAGGGCCGATTTCTCCCACCCACTCAATTTGAGCTCTTTATCCTTTCTGTCACTTGCCTGAAGAGAGAGCAATAGAGGAGGGAAGGGGGAGGAAGCAGCAGGGGGCTGTGAGAGAAGGGAGCTCCACAAGGCTGGGAATCTCCTGCCTGCTCCCCCTGAGCTGAGCAGGGATGGATGCAGCTCTGTGGCTGGCACACCACGGGGACAGCCAGGCTAATCCTGGCACTGCCGAGCAACTGGCGGCTTTGCAAATGGATCACTGGGAGCTACAGAAAGTAAAGGTGGATAAATAGGCCACAGGAGTGTGAAAAACTGAAAAACAGGCACAAAAAACTCCCAACACTGGAAACAAGGCAGACAAGATCACCTTTTACCCAACGATGACTGGAGTACTGTGGTTCATTCCCTAAAGCATAAGGAACAAATGTGCCAGGAGCAACCTGTTATATGCCTCATTGTGGCATTTAATATTTAAAAAGGAAATTGTCTCAGACATTTTCCTTTCATTAATTCTTTCCTAGAGCCAGCCTTCCCACTTGTTCATTTCAGCTTGGGAGGGAAAGAGCTATTCTTGGGAATAAAACACACATTACCACAGGCATTAACAACATGATGAAACACAATTCTTCACCACTATCTCAGGAGTTTTTGTAATGACAGTTTGCTCTGGAGAGACACTGGTTTGTCTCTCCTGGAACCACATTCACCAGCAGGGAGTGATCTGGTGCAGTTTTCTCCTACCATCTTCAGTAACAGGGCAGATAAAGTCCACATCTGACTGGAAGCAGCTCTGCTACAGTCCAAGAAAATGGGATAAGAGAAAGCTCCTGCTTTGTAGGGTCACCAGGAGTTGTCTGAACCCATGGTCTGGCAGAGAGGACCATGGCAGCTACAGCAGAGCCACCAAAGATAAATAGGTTTACCTGGCAAACACTGGGGAAGGTGTAACTGGTGTCTCTTATCCTCCACAATGAAACCTTTCCCCTCTCACCACAGAAGCTTTATGCTTGGACACAGACCGTGCTGTCCACGTGGCCAAGGCAGGAGTCAGCAGAGCTGTCTGCCTCAGAGGACATCCCCCCGTTCAGCTCTGACTCTGGGATGTGCTGTGAGAACGACTCCGAGGCCGTGACCTCCCTGTCGGAGCCGCTGACCCCCGACACCTGCAGCCAGGGCCTGTCCATCGGGCCGGAGCTGGAGCAGGACGAGCAGCCGGGCTCAGTGCCGGAGGCACAGAGCCAGCCCCGGCTCCCTGGCCACACCAAGGCCACGGACACCATCAAGGATTACGAGCTGTGGCTGGAGATGTGCATTGCTGCCCTGGAGAGGAACGTCTCTGAGGAGGAACTGGCTCAAGTGGACAAGACCGTGGATGCCCTGGCGAAGTGGGAAATGTTTACAGGCCAGCTGCCTGCTATGAGGAAGGACCTGCCCTTTGCTAGGGACAGCACCGGGCTACGCAAAGTTCTTGGGGACAAATTTTCTTCCTTGCGGAGGAAGCTGAGTTCCAGAAAACTGTCCAAGGGGGAGTCATCCCCTCAGCGCTGGCGGTGGGAGGACAATTAGGCTGGGGCTGCCTTGGGCCAGCTTTGCTCACACCACTGCCCGGCTTCCAGCCTTCCTCACCCCAAGCTGTTGCTGTCTCAGAGAAACAGCAGCTCCTCCCAGGAATAAAAGGTGTTTTGTTTTCTGACATTGCTAACACAGTTTTGATGTGATTAGTTCTCTAAGGGTTTTTTCCTGTGCTGGTCTAAATGACGCCACCACTCCACACCCACCTCAAGTCCCACGTAGCTGCTTTTATTTTCTTGGTCTGAAGTTGGCCAGGAAGAGGTCAGGCAGGTCCCCACTAAAGACTGAACATGCTCACACAGGAGCTTGGGCCATCTGAACAAACATGCAAATTAAACCAGGGCAGCTCCTCCACACAAAGAGCCCTTCTCTGCTTAGCACCTCAGTCCCCAGCACAGATGAGATTCTCCCTCTCCTCTCCCCCTCACAAACACTCAGAGTGCTCCATTTGCTGCCCCAGCAGCTGGAGGTTGTGCTGAGCACAGGAACAATCCAGGCTGATGGAGTCTCATTATGAACTGGGGAGAGATGGAGGAGATGGGCACAAAGTAAAACAGAAAGACCCCTGGCAGCTCTGCTGCCCCAAAGAGCAGTGTTAGTCTGCTGATTGTCTCCTGGCAGACTCTCAAGAGGATCTCCAGAGCTGCCTCAGTTCAAACAAAGCCAGGCTTGGAGTACGAGCTGGAACTACTCACATCCTCTGCAGACTGGCACAGGAGAGGAAACTCTTTGGAAACATTCACAGACTCATTGATTATTAATGTAAAAAGGGGAACCACACATGCATTTCTCTTTTTGCCTTGGAAAGTTTCGACCCTGGCCCTTCCCTGCTCCATAAGGCACCCACTGAGAGGGAGCTGTGCTGGCACCCCGAGCAGCAGAGCCTCCCTTCCCATGGCCAGGGCACGCTGTTCCTCTCTGCTCCTCCTGGCTATTTATAGCCAGAGCTCAAGAGGCCGATGGGTTCTTTGCTCCTGCCAGGGAAAGGCTGACCCCTCTCCATCCCCTGCTCCCTGAGCACTGATAACGCTCCCACAGCTCATGGCAACGTGGCCGAGCTCCAGATTTCTCCTGCCTAAAAATACCAGCAGGTAGGATCAGATTCAGGGCAGCTGGGAGAAGGGAGAGGATGTTTCCCTGGAGGAGGCAGCAGCTTTGGCTTTCCGGAGCACTTGCCCTGTGCGCTTTGAGGTCTCCCCCCTGCTCCATCCTGGAGTGGGAATAACGGGAAGACACTGGAAAAACGCCGGAGATTTACACACGCAGGTGAGTAGCAAAGACGGCCTCGCAGTAAATTCAGCTGGATTCTGGAAACACAAGCATTTCACATCCGCATGATTCATACCGGGAGAGAAAGGGAGTTTGGCTGCGGGACTGATGACGGCAATTCCTGGAAACATTTTTCCAGGCTGCAGCAGAGCCGCTGCTGCCGCCCTCTCCTGGCAGCCACAAAGGTGACGGCTCCGCATCCAAGACATTCTTCCCAGCAGCAGAAACTTCCCAAACCCTCCTTGAATTACAAATCTGAGTTCTGCCCCCGAACTCGCTCAGTTGTTGTCTGAACACACTATTTTAAGCGAGAGATTACTCTCTGTTCAGCCCTGTTTGCTCTTCCTTGGTCCCGTACTGAGTTATCAGGCTGAACTTTAGAAACTTTCCAGAAAGGCTCAGGATGATGATCCTGCCTAAGGGAACAGAGGCAGCTTTCTGTCATAAATTTCCAAAGACAACAGAGGAGTGGGGTGGCACAGAAGGGCTGTGCATCTCCACAGATGGGAGACTCCTTGTGACACTTGGCTTAGCTTAGAGCTGCTGTGAGAGCAGGAATTTCTGCTGAAGAGCTCTTGGGACTGCAAACGGGTATTTCTGACACCATCACCGCCAGCACCACCACTTTACCTGATCCAGGTAAGACAAATCGGATGGTAACTCAGAGCTTCACCTGGGCAGCTCAGCAGTGCCCACAGGTAAGAGGCAGCAAGTGGCTGAAAACACTTGGAAGTCCTTTAGCAGCTGGAGGAGAGGGTCCCCGCAATATTCCACTGCAGGGTTTGGTGAAGACATTCCTGTGGAGGGGCTGCTCTTCACACCAGCAAAGGTTTCCAGTGCTGCAGCAGCACGTTTAGCACAGGGTCTGCGAGCAGCACCTGGGTACACAGCCCACGCCAGTGAAGGGACTGGAGGCAGCCTGGGTCACAGAGGAACTAAAGCACTGGCCACAGCTTACACTGAAAATGAAGGTTATAACCAGAACTAAAGCACAAAGGTTCCTACTCCTCTGTGCATGTACCTGAGTTGCAGGGGGGCAGAAAACAGCTGACACTGGAATAAGTAGTAGGCCAAACTGAAGGTAAGCCCTTAAATAAGATTTCCTGCATTTTAAGCAGCAGGTTCCCGGGGAGATCTTTCTGCTTGGAAAGGTGTGGGAACATAACTTGCAGCTAATAAGCTTCTGAGTAAGCTGTGAAACAGAAATACAGATGAGATAATTAGGAGTCACTTTAGAAGGCCAAGCTGTGGATCAACCATCAGCAAGAAGGAGTAGGGTGCTCTATATATAAATCCAACATGCAGAAGCCACTGCTAGTTTCCATGTAACAACCCCCAAAGCACAACACAGATCTGTGTTAGACTGCTCTGGCTGACAGCATCTCCCAAACCACACCATCCTGTGGCTACCTGCAGCACCCTGCACCACCAGAGCAGCTCAGACACATCCTTTCTGCTCCAAGCTCAAGGATACTTATTTTGAAGCAACTTCTAAAGTCTAATCCTAAACATAGTAAAAAACAGTCTCTAAATAGCTTTACGAGCTCATAAAGACAAATATCTTCTCCCAAGAATAAGTAGGCAGAACATTCCACTCCTGCTTTGAAAATAAGGTCTTGCTGTAGGCTGAAGGGAGAGGGGAAACAAAGCAACTGTCCAGAAGAAAAAAACCAAAACAACAAAAAATTCCATGCTAGTTAGAGGTGAACTTGCCTACAATAGCTTGCAAGGGTGGGAGAGGAAAAAGCAGCACCTTCCACAGACATTTCATTAGCATGATCCAACACTTTGTGATTTAACAGTGGCTGTGACTGCCCCTCTCCCTTAAAAATGGTACTTCTTACTGAAGCCTGCTTCTGCTGTACAAAATTGTGGCTTTAAGGGGAAGCTGCTTTTGGTAAAAATCCCTGTACACTCGTCCTAATTAACTCTTCCTGCCTTAACACCACGTAGTTTCCCAAGATGCCAGTCAGTCCTGGGAAGAGTGGCAAGAAATTTGGGATTAGTAGCTGAGTAAACTTCCTCCCAGGTCTGTAAGGATAATGAGATACCAGGCTGGAGCTAGAAACCACAAGGACTTATTTAATTTCTGTCCTCAAAGAGTTCTAACAAATACTTTAATATTACTATAACCACCCCAAACCTTACACCTTGTACACTTGAGCAAAAATACAAGCTATACTTTGCATTTTAGAGCAGCCTCTCCCTGGGGAAACAGACATGTTCTCCTTTTTATCTTCAGTGTTGGATTACTGAAATTGCAGAAGAGATATTCTGGTTCTGAAAAGGGAGTTGTGCTGCTCCTGGGAAGGTAATTCCAAGCTAATATGTGGAGTTTAGGCTCTCCCTGGGGCACAAGCACTCACTGGCACTGAACAGACAAACCCACCTGCAGAACCAACTGCTGCAGCTCTGCTCTTACAGAGCAACATCTGCACAGCTGAGTTAGGAAAGGGGCATCTCACAGGAACACCCAGGCTCCAAAAAGGCCCCTTTGCTCCACAGAGCTCACCAAAGAGATCCCCTGGAGCTGCTGCTGAGAGCTTTCCAGGTTAGAGTGATCACACCTGGGCACCTCTACTAGAGCATACTGCATGTGCAACTGCTGCTCAGCAGAGATGCTGAACACTGGCAGCACATCTCACCTGAAAGTGCCCAGCAGCTCCAGGCACAGTCAGCCATTCCCAAAGACTTGGTGCAGCTGAAGTGCTGCATTTCCAACTGTTATAGAAAGGACCAAAAATGCTCCATGAAATGTTTCAAGTTGTGCACTGCCTGTGGAATTGACTTGGCACTGATAGTTTATACAAGAAACAATCAAGACTTGCCACAAAAATCTGCCAGATGTGACCTTTTGAAGTGAGGGAATGTGAGGAAAGGTTAACAGCATTCCCAAGGACTGGAGCCCGAGTTCTGGCAGCACAGGTTGTGCTGTGTGACAGGGACACCGGTGACCCTGCAAAGGTTGTGCTGTGTGACAGGGACACCAGTGACCCTGCAAAGGTTGTGCTGTGTGACAGGGACACCAGTGACCCTGCAAAGGTTGTGCTGTGCTCCCCAGACAGGGGCCTGGTCCCAGGAAAGCAGCAGGCACAGTCCCCATGGCTATTTATTATCAGATCCTACACAGAGCTGAGGAATCTCCAACAGGTGCTCCTATCTCAACAGGCCCAATCATCTTCTCTTGCTGAGCTCAGAATACACAAGCAAAATCCAGCTGTGCCTCCCCTCCCACTTCCAATCAGTGCTAATGCCCCAGCCAGCCCTGGGAATGCCACAGATGAACGAGTTCCAAGTTTCACACAGGTTAATGTGTCACCAGCCTGAGCTCCTGGACACACCAGGAAGAACAATTCAACCAGGACTGGAGGAGTGGGAGATACCAAGAGGTTACAGACTGAGATGTCATGGCATGACAGCTGCACTTCCATACAGTCCATGCTGCTGTTTGTTCAAAAAGCAACTCTCTCACAGAAAAAAATTTAATAAAGAAAAAATGTCACTTTGGACACTCGCTGAAAGATGAAACCCATAAAGAACAGTATAACAAGTCAAGTTTTAATAGATTTATAAAATTCATATATACAAAACAGTAAACTAAGTCACCAAAGCTATAAAATACACTTTTTACACATCACAATATAATTTTATCTAGTACACAGTTTTCATAAGTTGAAACTATTACAGCAAGTAGCTGCTTCTATCACGGATGCTGTTTTGGTGCTAGAAAGACACTTATGTGAGCAGTCTGGGACTGTGCTTTTACTTTATGCATTTTCCACCTTTTAGTTTGTCACTGTTCTTAAAGTACTTTCCTGTGAATTGTTAAGAAAATTAAGGCTAAACTCAGGGCTTTTTTGCCCAGTGTAGTGAACTGGTTTAAAAAAAGACTGATATTGCATAGTATGTGTGTTAATGCATAGGCACCAGAGAGCAAGTACATTGCAGAATAAAAGATAACATCACTTGGCTTCCTAAGCTGTGTGGTCGTGTCACAAATAATCTGGTGTTTTGTCAGTTTGCTTTTGTATATTTTGATTCCACAAACAAAGCAACTCCTCACTATAGAGAGGAACACCAGCACTGTTGTTCAGTGGAGTCTCCAGAAATATTTTTTAATGTGTATCATCAATTCAAGCCCATTCCACATTCCAGACAACACAACCTGGAGGAACACTCCCTATCCTACAGAGGGTTAATGGCTTCAATGCAAAAGGGACTCTGAACACACATTTCCAAACCTAAGTCCACCAACCACCTTCCCAAGTCTCGTGAGCTCCCAACAGATCCTTTCTCCTCCACATCCCCCTGCTCCCTTTTCTCCTTTGTGCCCAACCACCCGCACAAGAGATCGAGGGGAAGTCACAACAGAGAAGTTGTGCTACTCAAAACCTGCCACTTCCCTCAAAAGATGCTCTCTCAGGTCCTACTTATTAAAAAATGTTGCTCTCCATCAGTTGTAATTTTTATTCAAAGAATGGAAACAGCCTCTTACCTTCTCATGCTCTGGTATCTTGAAGAAAGTTTAAGCAGCTGTCAGAAAGGAGTAGGATGCACTGTCTAGCCAGAGGTCTGCATAATGTATTTTATCAAAATTGAGCTTTAGCACCCAGTGAACAGATGAAGAGAGAGATTTACAACGGCAGGGCCAGCCTTGCTGGCCTGATGCTCTTTATTCACAGCCAATGGCTCTCTGGAGTCACTCAAAGCTTTTGGGTCAGTGCAGATGGCATTTCACTTCAATACAGTCCTCAAGCACCATCAGCTTTTGGGATCTGTTTAGAAACTAGCTCCCCTCTCCTGCTCCCCTCCAACATACTTTGGCTTTTTTTTTACCAGAATGCCCACCTTGGAAGTCAGTGCTGCTCTTTTTTTTCCCCCCCCTCTAATTCCACACCAGACAGAAGATATGACCTTCAGTCACAGGCCAAGAGCTGGGCTGGGACAGCTCCTCAAGCTAGGCACAGAACCACCAGCACTGACAATCTAGAACCTCCACACTCCCCACCCGGTAAGAACACAAGCATATCGACACACAGACAAACTTCAACACCGCTTTCCAAATGCCATTAGAAAGATAAAAACGCCAAGGATCGAGCTGAACTGCCCAACCACCAAGATGAGCAAAGAGGCAGCATCACCTGGCTAGCAGAGAGGCAGTTTCAGCTCCACATCTCCTGGCTTTACTCATTTCCATCTATGTAAGAAAAGATTAGTGTTAAAACAAAGAAGTGCCCACGTCACAGCACAAAGCAGAGATCACCCCAGCTAATTACAAAACAGGTATTATTAAAAAGCACTAGGTCTTGCCTTACCAATTATTCCTCACTAGGCTAGACAGTCCTCACCTACAACTGTGTGGAGTCAGCATTAACTCAGGCCAAGTCTGGCCCAGACCACGCCAGTCCTGATCCATAATGGATGCTCCCTAAAAAACTGTTAAAAGCTCATTTACAAAAGCAGGCACAGATGTTTTATAGTTGCTACTGAAACACCCCACCCACCACTTTGTGTTACAGATTACAGAGTATGAGGTAAAGAGTTGGCAGCATTAAACCCCTGACTACACCACGTGATTTTATACTAGAAAGAGAACACAGAGAAGAGGGTACTGCTAAACTTACAGTTCTCATCATGAGATCAGTGTTTGGTTTACATGACAAACTGCACTGTGTGGAGGTGTTGTTGCATATCATGTCTCTCAAGCTGGCACACATCAAATCATCCATCAATCCAGCAGGTACTCCTGAAAATTTGATGACAGAAGCCAAGCTAAGTCAGGTGTCAAAACTCACTGCTTGAAAATCAGAGGGGCCTTTTAGAGAAATCCTCTAGGTCCATGCACAGAAGGATATTTTCCCCCAGAAATAAAGAAGTACACACATAGAAAAGACTCCAAAACATAAGTTAATATAAGTTAAAACATAGTTAATACAAAGACAGCCATCTAAAGGCAGCAGAGGACCTGTTTTTTACAACACTGTTCTGTGGAAGGCAGCTGTCTGTCACTAAAGAAAGCTGTTGGTTTCTTCAGTGGTACCACATCTGTTCTTTTAACTGTTTTAATTCTACATTTCTCTGCAGATCACAGTAACCAGGATGGGTGAATTCCCAGAGGGAATGAGGCCATGGGGATGGGGGGGCAACACATGGACAGGATGGGACACACTCCAAATGCACCACTTTTCACACCAAATATCACTTTAGCTGTCCTAGGGGAATTACACATTTGTCTCCAGTGCCATGTACAAATGAGCTCCTCCTACTCCATTTCTCTATGGTTTATTTGCCATTAGTTTCTCTACTCTGCCTGCAGCTCAGCTTTACCTGCCTCAGAAGGTCTGGGAATGGTCATCTTCAGGAGCTTCATTCTTGTAACATGCCCAGTTCTAGGTTTTACACAGCAGCAATTAAAAAATTAAATATATTATCAAGTTAGTAAGTCAAATAATCTAGGCTGCCAAATTAAAAAAAGATCCATTCTCTGCATGAAACTGAAAACATCTTTGAGTTGTAAAACTGGGTGGCCAGTAATTTCAATTCCATAACCACCATTAGTTAATTTTCAACATTAAGAACTATTTCACTCCTTCCAAGTGACAAGTGCCTATTGAATATGTCACTTCCAGAAAACCACTCTTCCTTTTTAACTCCACCAAGTCACCCTGCAGTGCATCTAAGGATTGTTCAGAGCCTGACAGCACTGCAATCTGCAGGAGTGGTACTGGCACACTCTATTAGCTTAACACTTGTTTTGAGGACAACAAACACAAAGTAGTGCTGGATAAATGACTCCCATTTAGTTTTTCTACTTCAGCTCCAGAATTACGTAAGTCTCTGCCCCAAGCACAGGCTGCAAGAGTTTCCTCTCTTTGTCCTCAGCAGAGACAACCCCTCTGCAGCACTCTGTCACTGACCCCGGCTGTCAGAGGAGGGACAGCAAAAAGCTGCTTTTTTCCTTAAAAAAAAAAAAGTACTCATTCAAGGTCTCCATCTGATGATCATCCTGCCTGTGACCCATTTCCTGACCAGCCAAATGAACAATAAGCCTATAAAACTAACAAAAAAAGATGTTCTCTCCAGCTGTGTTTACCTGCAAAGTTCTCCAGGATGTCACTTAAAATAAAGTTTTCTATTTGTTTCTGGTGAAAGGACTAAGCAACCAGCCAGGCCTGTCCCAAGATGTGTGAACAACCTCACCTACCTAAGGTCTGCTTTAATAATTCACTGATTTACCACAACATGATTTTCTGGCTTTATTATACTACTACTTACCTTGAAAAAAAACAAACCCAAGTCCCCTCAGTTGTGGCAAGAAGAGTTATTTTGCAGAGAAAACTGACACTTAAAAAAGTCCCCCACGTCCTTTTTACTCACAGACAGCTCCTCTGCACACTTGGGAAGTGCCTGACTTTTGCAAGGACAGTTTCCTGACCTGGGAACTCTCTGGAGAATACACCAGGGGTTCCTGGTGTGATCCATCACTATCCAAACCTGACAGAACTCAGAGCCCACAGAGCCAAACCACTGTTTTCCACCTGCAGCCCTAAACTCAGGCCTGTTTCATCAATTAAAACAAGAAAGGCAATAATAGGCCCAAGGTGGGCAAACTGGTTCCCTAAAACTGACTTAGTGTGCAAAACTGCCATATCATACAAAAAAAAAAGGAGCTTGAGAGCTCAGTGTGAGATCTCTCATGCTGTTTTCTTTTCCAGGTGCAGATTTTAAGTTACTTATATTTTAAGTTGCATCATTAGCTCTGTTGAGGGTAAATCCGTAAGGTGACTAAGGATACAAAACCATGGATGAGTGTCAAGAGAAAAACAGAACAGGAAATTCCATTCTATGGTTCCCAGGTAAAACTACAGTAGATTCAGCCACCAAACTGAGGTAATTCTTGAGAAAAAAATACAGTTGAAAGGGAATGTTGAACTAATTTGAGAAAACAAGCATAACATTAACTCATCTGGAAAATTCAGTGAAAGAATAAAGCTCACAGCAAACTATGAACTAAAGTCAAGTCAACCTAGAAGTCAGGTGAGCCCACAACTACCTCCTCTTTCCCAGTGTCTTGTGTGAAGTGAAAACCACTACCAAGAACTCAGAAAACATCTGAAAGCTTTGAAAGCAGCCTTAGTCTTCAGCCAAACAAATGGGCTCAGAGAAACCAACCTTATGTGATGAGTAAACTTGTTTGCATCACGCCGTGGTGAAATATTATCCTTTTCAAATGTAATAATCTTAAGGTTTTTCCCTCATCTGAATATTAGTCACATAACATTCTTCCCCTTCAAGGCTAAAAATTAATAAATATTTAAAAGACAGAGTTGGTCCTGGCAAAATAAGACTTGTTACAAGGATGCTAATTCCTGTTTAAGTTTGCTCAAATTTAAGTCAGATTTTCCCATCTGCGACTTCTCCGTTGCTTCTTACCTCGATTCTGTGCCCGTTACAGGCACTGAAAGAGCCACAGCTTTTCCACTCTGGAGCCTGCACAAAGAAAGCCAGGAGGCTGCTACATCAGGAAACTACACAAAAATACTGATATGAACATCTGCAAGCTTCAGAGGGGAAGAAAGATTCCAGATTTTATCCAAATTAACATGAAAGGACAACGGAACAGGACTTTTCTTTGACCACATTTCCCATGGGATTACCAGCTGAAGTAAAACTTTGCTTGTTTTGACATGCCATTACAGGCTCAAAGGGGATAAGAACTCCAGGGAATCTGCTGACTTTTTATGGGTACAAACAGCCCTTCAGGTTTTATTCTTGGATAAAAACTATGACAAAAATTGCACAGTAAACTATGTTTGAGTTACCTAAAGGATAGCACTACAATATCTTAGGTTTGTCCATTACCCCGCTGCAGTAGAAAAGAGTCAATGTCTGTACACAGAAAAGGCACCTGGCAGAGATTGAGAGCACAAGGAAACTTGGAGTTTACATCCAAATTACTCACAGCCTCTTGCCATTTTACACCCAAACCACTGCCCAAAAGGGGCTACTCCAAACTCGACTGTGCTCTGAGTTCCACGTGCAACACTATAGGCTAAAGATCCCATTAAGACACGGATTAAAGGCTAATTTTACAGCAAGGTCTTGCTGTCCAAATACATCAGTGCAGCTGGAAAGCTGGGATCTCCAGGGTGTTCAGTCTTCCTACAAGGTCAGCTGTTGGGAACTAATCAAGCAGCTGCTGTGCTACCAAAACCTTTGCTTAGAGTTTAGTCAGCTTCTAAACTTTTGAGTACAGATGAAGCCCTGTCACGAGAGATACTGAACCTTCACAAATGCTGCCCACTGTGGGTGTGAGGACAGTGCTGGCTGGCCATGGAGCACATCTCCTTCGAGCACCCACTGTGCAGGGACACGGCTGGGTGCTCCAGCACAGGCTGCTGCACCAAGGAAATCAGTTTTCCCATGACGTAACACCCTCCACGCATAGTGCAAAATAAACCCTTCTCCATATCAGCAAGGCCTTAAGTCCCCATCCCATTTACTCCAACATGAGTTTCCTTACACAGTTTTAGACTTCTGCCTCAGGAGACTCATGCAAAACCTTTAGACAAGAGCTGTGCATCCACCCTGGAAGGTGGATTCTAGACCTTCGGCAAAGCTGAACACGCGCAAGACCTGGTTATATTCCTAAGGGTTAAGAATGGAACTTCCATTAACATTCTCCAATACAGCTGCCAATCTCATCATGTTTAGATTAGTTTGATCGATTCAGCACCTCCAAACTACAAAAAAAAAAAGGCAGTTTGTAAAATTAGTGTCTCTGAAAAATGAGCGCATTCATTCGAAACGTGTCTTCCATCCATGGTTTGTCAGAGATTTCTGTTCTCGAAGAAGGCAGACTGTG